ATTAAGAGAAAGAGAGAAGAAAAATAAAGTCTGCTTGCGTCACCGATCACATGTTTCTAGGCCAAAGTACATCATCCACGATTCAGCAATAGTTTGAGCTTCCCATTGTCCGTTTTCTTCTTTCTCCCACGAATACTGTTTAACAACACTTGTTCTTTTCACTGAGGGAGCTTTATAGTGATGGTTGCTTTTCCTCTTTTGCGTGTCAGGTGGGAAAAAGTCCGGAAGAATTCGGGAACCTTTTTGCCAAAACATCTCCCGACTTTTTCTCGATCGGTCGGCAATACTGAGCCTGCATTTTTCACAAGAACTGTTCGTGGTCTTTCCAAAGAAGACGTTCTGTGGTGAAGAAATTTCCATGACGTTTCTCCCAGAAGAAATACCAGATAACACTGTTCCCTTGTATTTATTCTGTTAACCCGGATTTCCAACCAGCTGGTATTCTTGAAAATAAAGAACAATGCAAGTTTCACCCCTTGAGAAACTGCATGCAGCAGTTCTGCGGAGCATGGCGTGTTTTGATTTCAATTTATATAAGATGAATTCGCTAATGTTTTCAGTAGCACAATATCATTGATTTAATCGGCCAACGCAAAACCCCCAAAAGAGTAAAGACGTCAATTTTTCATTAGAATGCATACCCTGTTTGGTGTCGGCGCCTTTATGACGTAGTGACCTGAAGCACAAACAATCACGGTCACATTTCTACATTGTCGGAAACAGCACTTCAACATAAAACTTCTGCAGAGCTTATTAAAGCGCGCGGACAGGATTTGTCGTCGGAATTACGTAACTATTTTTCCATGAAGAGAAACCTCCGCCTTGCCGATCTGCGAAACTAGCTATAGTACTCAATACTTTTATGACAGTTGAAAGATTTTCAAACAGAGCCACACATGTGAGAATCAAATTATAAGCCAGCCTTTCATCCTACACGCCATCATTAGCGTAAGGAAAATGTTCAGCATATCACGACAAACAAAACACATTTAGTGAGACAAAAAAAATTCAAATTATTTGTTATAAACAAGTTTAAAATCAGTTTCATATTCATGCGAGGAACTAAAATGCAAAACAAACGCAAAACAAAAAACCCGCCTTGCTCAACTTCAAAAAGATCACATTTTTTGCTCAGTGCAATACCAGCTAAGTCCTCTGCAATTTAGCTTGACTAATCAAAATAATTAAAGCCCTCCTTGATTTAATGTTGTTTTTAATCCCTACAAAGTGAAAATTTAGGAATAATACCTTATATGGCAATGATTCATAAACATTATACGTCTGCAAAAACAATATCAACTGACTAGAACGTGACTAAAATTCTAAGTAATATTTATTTTATTGAGTTGCTGGGGATTTAACATCTGGATATCCTATACGCCAAAATTTTAATATAGAAAGTAAAGAAACCGGGCCACCTTAACAAAAAATAACATCGTATTTGAGGGGTAAATTTCACTCGAACTGCCCAACAAAGCATAATAGTAATAATAATTTTTTGATCAATGGCACAAGAAAACCAAAAAAAAGGCCGTGTTTTTACTGCTATTGCATAACTTTTTTTAAGCCTTTGAAATAACGAGCAAAAACTGCAATAGTATATTATGTTTTTCGCTTTTTGAGTGGCAGTTGCTCGGCCACGTTTATTAATAAGAAATAAATTTTCCCGAATATTTCCGAGTTCAGCAATTATTTAGAGCATGTCTTCAATTTCGCAAAAAGGAAGGAAATTGATGAAATGTCTCATTGTCCGAAAAATTGAAGAGGGGAAAATTCTGTGTTTATTGGATAGTGGCGTTGACATCGTGTAATGAATCAAAATTTCAGGCTTATCTTTATGCCTGTTTCCAGATGTTTGTAAATGAAAAAGGAAAACACTTTTAGATCACTTCGATAATTTATTTCAATGTTTGATCAAAAGAAGCATCTAACGATAGTTATAATCTTTTCACTCCAGGAGACCAACACAAGAACACGTGTTGTTACAACGTTTACGTGTGTGGACGAAAAATTCGGATGTGACCTTGTTTTCGTGAAAATTAAAAAAATGAAGAGTCCGTCCGTCTAAAGTCCATGAGACCTCGTGTTTTTTTTTTCTCATAAACGTTCACTTTTAACTAGGTTTGATCATGCTAGTGAAATCACCAGTTACGAAATCACGTCGTGTTTTTCACTGATTAAAAACCAGTGGGGAATTTTTTTTGTTACGTCATAATTCAACGCGAGAAATAGATGCAAATATCAGGTACATCCAAGACCGACATCCTTATGTTACAAATAACGCGTTCACTAGTTGTTTCAGTAACAAATCTTATTTTAAAACAGAAGATTGGTTTGAGAAGGAGATAGATAGTTAAAAATATTCACCTTAATTCTTGCAGCCAAAGAGCTGCATCACGATTAGGCCGGTTTACAAGTGGAAAAATTTATAAATTAGCATTTTTTTATACTATTTTAAAATTACAATTTCAAAACCATACGCAAATCTCCTATAAGAAACAAACGACTTCTACTTCTCAATTGCCTAACTACTATAGCCATGCATGACGACTCTTGCATCTTTCAGTTTTACATTCCGGACGGATAAAAGTTTAGAGCAATTTTCACTGTTCGCAGTCCTTACGGTCTGACCGTTTATAGGGTCAAAATCAAGCTCGTTCCTAGCAAAGCTAATCCTGAGTTCTTTGTATTTCCTTTCATGTGGCTGAAATCCGTCATCCCTCGCCAATGCCAGATCGATCGTCTACCACTTGCTGAATCCAGCTCTCTTGACCTTTACCTACCAACTCCGAAATTGTGATATAATCATGGAGTAACACATTTTTACATATCTGCCCCTTATGCATTCAGATCATTAATTATTTCAGTGGTTCAGGAAATATTTTACGACAATTTAAAAGAATTTGTATGGAAACCACTCGACCGTGACTGGGTGGCAAGAGTTGTTTTTCCCATACAATTCCTTCTAATTTTTGGCAACCGCTGCAATCGTAGCCTGTGTACAATTTACAGGTACCTAATTTTAATATGCTCTTTCAATTCCTTCTAACAAAACTTTCCAAAAGCGAACTGTTTTCGTGCTTACAGAAAGTTGCAGTGATCACGTGATCAACTATTGCAAAGGCCTATTTTAATACAATAGCCCACGTTCGATTTATTAAATTCTAACATGACTCCGAGGCTTTCTGGTCATTTTTATATAATACTATTGTGGGGTTTTCTTTGTACTCACGTCTCTTCTGGGAATTGCAAGACAACGGAGTCGTGAAAAATTTGCAATTTTCCCCCTAAACCTCGGATTCATATTAGAATTTTAATATATAGAGCGTGGGCTATTAAACCTGTGCAACGTTAATAATTAATCTATTCAGCACGATTGGGGCTTCGTTCACAATGCGCCAAATTAAATGAATTTTTGACGGCCTGAAAAATTTGACCGGAGGTTTTGCTCACACGGAAAAGTTCAACGTTTTTGCTCTGTTCACACGGGACTGACAAAAAAGGTTTAATTCTTACTTTTGTCAGAATTTTTACCATCTGTACATGCGCAGAGCGTTCCTTCAGGAAATCCAAAATTGCGCCTTCCAGCTAAGCTACCAGGCATCCATGCAACCGTGCCTTTACCGTGCAAAGATGTAGACGGTTTTGGTGTTTACATAGCCTGAATTTCATCCGATTGCTTCGAGTCGTTTTCTCCTCTCAGCAATGTCTGAATCGACCGGCCGTTTAATGCCGTCCACTGGCGTCATCACTACCCGAAAACCGGGTAGTGATTTTGATTGGTTGATTGTCTAAACATTGGCATAATTATGCAGAATTATAAGAAATTTTAGCTGTATTGTCGCTTGATATTCAGCGGATCACATCCTGGTATGCTTGGATGGAGTTCAAACATTTTGATAATCTTTATCGTAAACAGCAAAATTGCCCTCGTCTTCGAAACTGAATTGCAAATGAAGAATCGTTGCTGAGAGTCGGTAGGTTTTTCATTTAGAGCCGCTTTGTGGTTTCGGCAGTGATTTTGTTTATGCGAGGTTTCTGAGACCAATGTTGTAATTCGACCCTCTAGCTATTTTCAAAGTCAAGTGTAATGATTCTGTTAGCTTTTCTTTCTTGTTTCCTTGTTTTCTTTTTTCTTCGTTAAAGACCAAATAGCTTCTTTTCAACTAAAGCAAATCGTTGTGAACTAATTGTTTCATGTGTGTATTTATTTCATTGCGTGATTGCGACCGAGTTTGATTATGGCGGAATTACAACCAGTTCGGAGTACTGCATGCAGTTGATAGTTTGAACCTTAAACATGAATTACGATTGAAAAAAGTAAAGCCATCTAGTATCATGCAGACATTTCCAAACTATATTTCTTGGTTTGCCACTTGAAAATCGTGTTTAACTTTTTGCACAAATTAAAAGCAGAGGAGTAGTGTCGTCGCTGGACGGCATTAACGGATGGTCGATTCAGACGTTACTGAGGGAGTAATGACGACTTGAAGTAATCGGATGAAATTCAGGCAAGGTGTTTACACTGCGCCGGTCAAATTTGCCCTTCAAAAATTTAGACGATTATGGTTTACGCCGACGTGGTAAAAATTTTCGACCGTACCGGCTAAAAATTTGACCTCGATTTTGGTGTTCAAATTATTTATTGCCTTGCAGGCGTCTAAATTTTCGTACGGTTAAGGTGGTTCCGTGAGAACGGATCACCTGAAAGTGCGAATTTCAACCGGTTGAAAATTTGTCCGATGCCGTCTGAATGTAGCCTGCAAGCTAGCTCTCCGGGGCGCTCTGGCGGCCCTGGTGGGAAAAGGAAGGAAAGCTTGCAACTACGTCCCTGGACTAAGTTGAAAGCTCTCCTTCCTTTTCCCGCCCCGCCGCTAGAGCGCCCCGGAGAGCTTGCTCGCAGGCTATGTGAATTTAGCCTAAAAGTCCGAACGGAATAACTTTTTTTCAATGTAGTAATCTGGGTAATTACGCAAATCTCAAAGGCTTTCTAAAATACCCTAGTTGGAGCGGAAGGCAGGTGAATTGTCTTCCGCTTTCGATGGGATTATATCAAAACAAGGTTTAGACAAATACGAGACCTTCAGCACGTCTTGAGCCAGGATAACTATGACTACAACTGACATAGTAAAACTAATAAATGATAAAAAAAAACTTCTACTTAACCTTCAAGAGCCTCAATCTTGTTTTGACACTTTTAACATCGATACTTATGTTACATATTTAAAATTACGTGTACATACATTACACGGCATTTCTTCTGCAACCCGATTGATACGGCCTGTTGTTCTGAAAGGCGTTTCATAAGAAACACCAGAAGGATATTTCACAGGAACAATTACTAACCAAAAAATTTCATCCATGCGGCAATCCCTAATTGTTTTTCTAACAGGTCTTGGTTTGCAAGTCTCATTCTACCACTTTGGCGGGGAACTCTCAGACCTTTGATGGATCTATGCCTGTCGATGCAAATCGTTTTCGCGGAATGTTTAGACAAGAAAAAGTCCGCAGTAGATAGCACTTGAGCAGAGCCCTTCCCAAGATTGTTGGACCTATTTTCACTCGTGTGAAATTTCGTGATAAATTCCACAACATCGTTTTGGATCGTGGAGTTATCCGTTTCTGTCTCATCTTCCACCTCAAAAATCGTAGGCAAGTGAGGAAAGTGGCGAAAGGAATTTCGCTGCTTGTAATGATCCCTGTGTTCGCACGAGTTGTTATGAGAATCGCAGTTGTCTGCAAATCTACACATTTTGAAAATGAAGGAAAGCTTCTGCCGACGTTGACCGCGCTGGCGTGTGGAGGAGCACATTAATGCGTAGCCCATATTTAAAGTTTTATTGACAAGCAACTTAAAATCTTACATAAATTTACAGTCAATCAAATAACTTGTCAAACATGCCGACGAGATTGGGAATCTACTGGATCCCTATGTAAGGTACAGTTTTAATGCATAGATAACCACAAACTGACTTCGTCGACAAAAGTGCGGCTTTGATGGATACAGAAATATATATTGCTGTAGCATTTTCGGTTAGAATAAATTTTGCTATCTCATTCTTATTATTATTTTGAGGATCTGTCGGGATCAATCTAGGTCATTATTCAGCTTTACAATAAAGCGCGGCAAATTAGACTCTCCCCCTCTTTTTTAGCGTATATCATTACTTTGCATGCTTTGGACAACCTCCGGTTTCTACTTATATGTGTAGTAACCATGGTGGTCTAGGTTGGAATCATGTCTTAGCTCACGCAATGCAAGGAAATAAAATCAATTAACAATCTGAAGAAATGTGGGTAAAACAGATATTGCCTACTTCCGTAAAAGACCTGAAGGAGGCTATATTCATATGTCTGATAATTGGTTTTACATATTGAGCAGCGTGGTTAATTACATTTTCTTCATTCCTCTATTGCACTGCGCAACTCTAATGCGCATCACCTTTCCAAGTTGACACGGCGGCCAGGGAAGGGGTAGAATAGACTCTTTCAAAATTTTAGTAAAAGGGAAATTGAATTAGAAGCGTGGTACGATGAAAAGTTTACATGTGTCTAAGACGTCTTGTGGAAGTATTGTTCTTTATGAAAAGCAGCCTGTGTAAAGGGGCTGAAAAGACATCAAAGCAGTGAACATGAGGACGTTTTTTAGCTGGCTTTCTTTTTAAACAAGGAAAAAATTAAACACTGCGGATTCAAATTGGCAATCTAAAGCGACTGACATTTTGAAGTTTAATAACATCACACATATATAAACAAATACAGGTAAAAACTTGTTAACTTTAGAAGTTTTGATATCATAGCGTAATAGGCGTAAAACGTTTTCTTATGGTGTATTGGACAAGTCAAATTTCTCGTAGCGAGTAAGCCCAGACAAAATAGGAAAAGCAAACGAAGAGTTAGTGACGAGTACTTCAAAATGGATTAAAATGCCTAATATTTGCTTAGTCTATGCTTTCAAGTTCATGAATTGTCAATTGGTTATTCTAAATAAATGATTATCACCGATTTACGAATACATAGGTGTGAGCTGGGGAGCTCATACCGCGAAAATGTAGCACTTAAGATCAAAGCATACGCTATCCAAAAAACTCCAACCAAGCAGCAATTTCGCTGAAGCGATCAGATTGCATTCCCGTGGTATCAGAAATCTTAGATTGTTTCTTCCTAGCACTGTCAGGCAAACAACAGGTCTCTAGGCTCGACGTTGCCGTATTTTCTGGAAAAAATTCCGCATAGGGAGTCTTCAAGAAATATTTAAGTTCATCTTTAACTTGCTGAAACAGCGTTGCCTCTGCCGTTTCAATAACACCAGATTTTCCAAAGCAAATTTTGTACCGCATACTTTTTTCTTTTGCAGTTTTGTCTCTTTCGGCTGCTTTCTGCGGAGGCCGGTTGATTTCTTTTTCCCCAAGTAGACGAGCAGCGTCTGTAGTATCTTGCTCAAGGTTCTCTTTAACAAGAGTCTCACCGGCATCAATCTCGGCTGTTGACATTTCATTGTCTGTGGCCTCAAAAATTGTGGGCAATCGTCGCCAATAACTTAATGTAACAGAGCGACTTGGCGAGTAGTTTCTGTGGCTAAGTCCGTAAGGCCCACGACACATCTTAAATGTTTTCGTACTCAGTTAGTACTTATTTGATGCTCTGACGAGGTTGGGAATCTGGGCGAGTAATGTCTTAAGATAAAAGCTGTGCAAGCAACGGCGGAAGACACAAAAATAATGAATTGTCGAAACTGAAAATACTATGCCTTAAGTACCCATTTGAGCCACGCATCCAAGTGATTGCATTCATTATATAGAAGGCCATAACTTATTACCGATTAATGATTTAACCAAAACGCCTGATAAAACTAAATGAATTAACGCAACGGAATACTCAACCGCACGTACTTCGCGGAAAATATACTTTAATAACACCTTCTAAGGCTGCAGGACCACTTAATTTGCCTTTTATCGGCACATCCAAGATGATAAACTTGACCGATAACAGAGCTTGCATCGAGCGTCGTGAGCGTAGAGACGCTTTGCCTTAAAAAGCCTTACCTCTGCAAATCATGACTTAAATCTTAAAACAAATATACAGACGATGCAAGTTTACTTTTTTCATTTACTCATTGACTTAAAATAATATCCCACGTAGATGTTATGAGCATTTGTTACAATATTTTTTCCCTACCTTAGACGTGCAAATGCAAATGATCTCCGGAAAAAAAATGTTTGATAGGAATCGCGAATATCGCTCCTTGATTCACCAGGGAGTATTATGAAAATCGCAACGTAATGGAAACGTGCTGCATTTTAAGCCCCCACTTTTCACGTCCTGGTCTAGGCTTACGGTATTATCTCATCTTAATTTGTGATTGAAGGGGAGGCCATGGCAAAGTAGTTAAGAGGCTACGTGAAAAAAAAATGGGCCATTTTTTTTTTTCTCAAGCCTAAACAGGCTATTAATTGCTTGCACCAATAATCAGTAAGCATGATTAGTTTAATATCTTCTTCATATAATTCTACGGGGAGAATTTTGTCCATGGGTGAAGGTACTTAAGTATAATGACTTCAGCACAGAATTGACCTTTTTGGCCACTAATTAACATGTAACTGAGATTGCATAGCCCTTTTAAGGGTTGATTTCCACCGTTGTGTAATTTTAACGTGCATACGAGCGTAAATGAAATAAAAGGCCACGCGTAAACACAAAAGTTTAGCGAGGTCCAACTTTTACGTTTAAGAGTGATCGTCCATACATTGTCTCTATTTTATTTACGCGTGTAAAATTTACGTGCGTATGCACGTAAAAATTACGCGAATGTGGAAATCTACCTTAAAGCCGAGGGTTTCATTTCAAAGATTCACGTTTATCTTACGATTGTTGAAGATTTTTGAAAAATATTATTCGCAAATATTAATCCACAACTGCTATCAAACTGGTTACCATATGTTACCGCCTAATTTCAGCGGATTGCTGCAGCCATTGAGACTTTTTAACTGTCACGTGTTTAGTTATGGCACACATATAGGGAGCTTAAGCAATAACTACAGCGAAAACGTTACCTAAAAAGTACTATGAAAAGGTCACTATACTTCAAACTTTATCGTGCTTATTCCACCTCGTTCAATTGATTAAATGTTGGCAGTTTATTCTGGAATTGAATTCTAGAAGACTGTATCAATTAAAGTTCAGGAAAAGATAAAGTCGTTGTCTTCTCTTCACGTCTTCCACAAAACGTAAAATTAGGCATTTTCACGTCTTATTCGTGCAGTGACGGCAAAGAAATGTACAAAAAAGCGGGATGCACGTGCAGTGTAATTGTTCTGCCAATCTGAACCTATTGCTTTTTTGCCGTTCTCGTTGACGTCGCCATATTCTTTTGCGGCTAAAGCTCCCTATTGTGGAATCCGCAATCTGTGAAAATTTTGATTGTGAAATCCGGAATCCTGTGCTTTGGAATCCGGAATCCCACTAACGATGGAACCCGGAATCCAAGTTACACTGAAAAAGAATGAAGTCTAGTACCTGGAATCCGGAATCCATGGCTTGGAATCCAGAATCCAGAATAGAGAATTCCCTTACATGGTGAGGGGGGGTGGGTGTGGGGGGCAGAGAACATGCGGTATATGAATACAACCGCTTTGCGTTTTTTGCGTCAGATTGCCAGTTAACTGGCTGACCGCGATACACAAACAATTTATCCATATGAAACCAAACATTTATTTTCTTAAGTGGATCTGAGGTTGATTTCAATGAGGCAAAAGGTAAAGTTGTACATAGTTAAACATCCAAACAACTGAGTGTTTTAAGGCTATGAATAAAATGAGAGACTAGGTAATTATTGGTAATTTATTCCATGAAAACAGGCATACTGTATTTCGCGGACTGGACTGGACTGGACTGGACTGGACTAGTAAAACGCGGACTTGTAAAACGCGGACTCAAAATTTGTAAAACGCGGACTCAAAATTTGTAAAACGCGGACTCAAAATTTGTAAAACGCGGACTCAAAATTTGTAAAACGCGGACTCAAAAATTTGTAAAACGCGGACTCAAAATTTGTAAAAAAATTCCGGGAGTCCACATTTCTAACCCCACATTTAGAAATAAGCGTTGACAGGCCAAACACGACTCATAAGCTCGTGATAATGTGAAACGTGACCTTGAGAGTCTGCTTGAACAGTGGTTCTCTTTCTTTTTTCTCTCGCGCGAAGGTTACTAGCACTACACAGTGCAAGACGTGTAGCATTCTAAACTTTGACTGAGTAAATCTTGTTTTTGCCGCACTAAGTCTTATATTTAGAGGTCATGAAGCAGGTTTGTTACATGCATACTGAGTAATCATTTCCTGTGATTTATGCTTCTGTACTAGGTGTGCCTAACAGGATTTGATTTCAGATGCAGTTGTTAAGTGTTTTATATCCTTTGACCTCTGTTTATTACGGCTGAATAAAGATTTTAGTTTTTTTGGTTTTCTCCGAAATGGCTGTATCTGAATAACTACATGCATGCATGCAAGTTTCTTTGTCCGTGAATGTGATTATTTCCTGCCATGTCAGTATGACTCTGGGCCCAGCTCTATAGTGTGGTTTGCAGGATTTTGAATTTCCACGGATAGTGCGATCTTCAGATATGAGTTGTACACTGTAGCTTAAAAACTAAAGCTACACCAAGTTTGGAGAAATATGCCGTGCGTCAGTCAAGATAATTCTCTTAGCGCTCACACAGTCCATTTAGTTTTTCTTAACAAAAGTGAGTCTT